TTTTAAACCTATTAGAGATTATTTGTATACATTGACAATTCACTCTAGAACTGATAGGTTACTTTGGTATGGAGGAAATTTCACATTCAAAAATGTGTGGGAAAGCTGTAGGGTCATGAATCCAGAGGTTAATTGGTCTAAAATTTGCTGGGGCAAAGCTAGACCGAGGTGGTCAGTTAATGGTGTCTTTCTGTTCCAAGATAGACTACCGTCTATGTATAATTTGCAGAGAAGAAAGGTGCAGTTGGCTCCAAGATGTTCTCTTTGTTTACAAGGGATTGATACCAGAAATCATTTGTTTGTTCAATGTCCATTAGCAAGGAATTTCTGGAAATGGTTAGGAGACACTCTTGATTGGAGGACTAATTTTACTCTTTTGAATTTTGTTGACTTGGTTTTTGCAGCAGAGTAGCAAAATGGTTCACACTATGCTAGTTGCTGGGCTTTGGGGTATTTGGCAAGAGATAAATCGAAGACTTCGTGACCACAGTTCTAGGTCCACCTCTGAGGTGGCTCGACAAATTTTATATGAAGTTCTTGATGTTTATAATGTCCCTAAGGGGGACATTATTTAGCATTAATTGTTTACATTTCATTTCTTTTTCTGCAATAGGTTTTTCCATTTCTGCTTCATTCTGAGGGAATGCCCTCTGTGCGCCTGTAAATACTTTTTCTTTCTTTTATACAAACCCAATTATGAAAAAAAAAAATATATATATATATAAGAAATGTAAAGTTCCACAAGCACATGGACAGCATTCTATTACATGCCAACTCGTGTGTGCGTGGAAGAGAGTGTCACTTTCTCAACTCGTGTTTCTTCCAAAACATTCTCAATTCTAAATATGTTCAATTACCGTGATTAATATAGCATACACAGGTTTCTTGATAAAGACTAAAAACTAAGACAAGTCTTTGCACAGACTAACAGAATTACTATTGCCTTCCTGGATATAAAGCTTTAGCATCCATGAAAGAGTTGTGCTTAGAATTATCAGATGTTCCTTCAAAAACTCTTCATGTGATCTGTATTGGACATAACATGAGACTGAAACTGGCATGGGCATCAGATATGCATAGCATGTGTTTATAAATAACAAGAGAGAAAACTGGGAAAAACAGTCTTGAGTTTATGTATCTTCTTTGTTCCTTTTTTATTTTTATTTTTTATTTTTCTTTTTTCTCCAAGCCTGAATGCTATTCCCATATGCTATATTTGGTCAACTTTTTAGAAATAAAATATTTGCATTCACACTTCAGTTTACCCTAACACAGAAGAAAAACAAATGAATTCATGATGCCTCAATCTAAACTATACAATAATATTTCATAATGATCTAAAAGGACATTCAAATTTCTTGAAATGAAGTCCCCAAGTGTCTGTGCTACTTCAGGGCACTTAAGTAGCAAACGAATTCATGATGCCTCAACACAGAGCATGTGCTGCTGTCACTGATAGAACAATTTTACAACCTGGAGCTTTACATAACATAGAGTCGAGAACCAGGCCATTTGCCCAGGTGGTATAAACTCTCCTCCCCCCCCCCCCCCCAAAGGGCAAAGAAGAGGTGGGGGGTTTAAGCCACAAGTGGGGCAAAATTGTGTGGGTGTGCCTTTAGTTGTTTACCTAACCAAATATATATATATATTGTTGAGAAGTCAAAGAATTGAGATAAAACAAAAGTGAGATAATGGAAAAAGAAGCCGTGATGGGGGGGGAGTAGGGGAAAGATAAATGGGAAAATACTACACTCATTCGATAGCAGAATAAGTTGCATTGTTCTCTCTCTCTCTGTTATATTGTATATTAATGCAAAAAAGTGCATCTATATTCTCACTTCAGCCTACATCATAGATAATTGCAAACGGTTCAATATACTTTCATCTATACCTTATAGTGTTAGTGACGAGAAAAAATGTTGCATCGATAACTGGAGCTTGGGATTTCCATGGACAATTTTGTCCTAGAATACTGACTAAATTCCCAACCACCAAATAAAATTTGGTTCCCTAGAACATCTAAAACAGGAGACCACATGCCTAAGGCTCTAAACAATTTGACATAAAAAAATAAGAAAATCTGAGTTAAAAGAACCCAGGGCCAAAAAATAATTTCTTTTATTGAGATGTCTACCAATGGCAGATTTCCTCTTCCAGATGGCAAATAAAAAAATAAAAAGAAAAGAAATAATGGCTGCACAAACACACAACAATATCTACATTTGAATTTCAAAATATAGACATGCAGTGAAGGACTCATGCAATTTCATATTAGTTTCATTCACCTATACGGAGTTGTATTTTTGGCTAGACTCGTAACTCGTGCTTCTAAAATTTCAACGTATACTTATAAAATTCTATTTTTTTCCCTAGAATATAAAATATTTTTGGCAACTTAATGCCCGGGACACCAAAAGATAGAGCATTTCCAACTCCAGAAACTTGACGGGGGCAAATGTCAAGCTCAAGCAAAAGTAGCAGTTATCATTCAGTAAGTCCAAATAAAATTGCAACATAAACCGATATTACAGCACTGACACAGCTTGATCACAAAATCTAAACTTCTTCCAAGATCCTGGAAGCTGAACTTAGTGGGTGTTTGGGATTGCTTCTCTACGATTCAAAAGCACTTTCCTTACAAAAAATTGCGGTCCAGTGTTTGGTGGAAAAAAAAAAAAGCGCTTAGAGGTGGTAGAGGTTAGGTCAAAAAAGCGCATTTAAGTGAAGTTAGGAATTGTAGCTTTTAAAATTGTGTTAGAGATAGAGGTTTATCTTTTTAGGTAACCAATTTTTTTTAGACAATGAAATCCCTTTATATTTTTTATAAATACAATTTTGACCCTACTAGAAATAAATACCAAACAATATCCTAGTTATTCAGGGATTCTGTAACAAACGAATATCCTAGTTTATTCTAGGACTCTCCAACCACCTTCCATTTATATTTTAGTACTAAATACAAATTCTATATCATAAACAAAATATGTGATATTTAAAAAAAAAAAAGAATACAACTTGATATTTATAAAGTATTGAACTCAATGAAATTTTATAATATTTAATATTAGAGAATTAACAAAATTTTAGTTAAAGGGTAATATAGTAAAATTAGTAATAGAAGTGCTTTAAGCAACATTATTACCAAATAAATTTAAAAGTGTTTCAAGTATAAAAAGTGCTTTATTAACTGCGTTTTATTGACAGCAAATTTATAACAGCTCTATTAATAAAAGCGCTTTCAACATTCTAACAGCAATCCCAATCGGGCTCTTAATCTAAAATGAAGATCCCATCCAAAAAGTCTACAGATTGTGTTTTACAGACATAACGGTTTCGATCCTACTAAGTAAAAGGAATTTTAATCGAGGATACAATAAAATTCCAATCCCCAGATTCTAAAAAAGATTGAAACTTATGGGACTTCTGTTAACTTATGGTCTATTTATGTGGACTCAGGAACTCATGTTGCTGCATAAGTGCGTCTAGGTAGAGGTTTTGTCTAATCCCCGAGTCTTTGGTTATTGACAAAATAGTCAAATTTTCCCAATTAGGAATGAAAAATGAAGTTTTTAAGCAAAACTACTTTCCATACATGGATGCTCGGAATCATTTTGAACCCATGGACAGATATGGGAAGTACAAAACTTGGAGAGAACAAGGCATGTGTTCTATTTCTTATTTAGTCAATTTTGGTGGGGAAGTATCCGAAGTATATATCTAACACAAGCCGTGCCAATTCCCAAGTTACATAGACACGTTGACATGTTATTGCAAAATAGTTTTTGGTGTACTTTTTGTACATTCAGCCATGCCTGTTATTACTTATTAAAAGGGAAAAAAGATAAATTCCGAGAAAATGTCATATTCAAACATTATGATTCCCGTATGCCACATATATACACAGTCATTTTGCTATTTCAGCATCTTACCAAACAAACATGTATAGTATCTTTATCAAGGTTGTTAGGATCGATGAGGGGTCCATAGAATCGTGATTGAAGGATCAGAACTCAAACTAACTTTCCAAATCAAATATCTTCGATATAAGGAGAAAACAAGGCTAAACAACCAATATGAGAACAAAATCAATTAACATTAAAAGATACTAAGACATGTGGCAAACACTTGAAACAATTTCTCGATTTCCTCTATACAAAAGTCAGCATAACAATCAAGCAGAATCTCATAGAAGAAATTGAAGTAAAGCCTAAACAAATAGAAAAAGGGAACATAGAAATAGAGAGAGAAAAGTATTTGTCTGAGCAATTTAGTTGAAAAGTTTACTTTTTGGTTCAGAAAAAGAACAAAACAAAGAAAGAACGGCGAAAAAAGTCACTTGTTTTTGTTTCAGAATGGACAAAGAATAGGCAGGAAAATAGAGTTCATTATGTTTCTTGTTTTGAAAAAAGAAAGAAGAATAGAGAAAAATAGAGGAAATTTTTGAAGTTTTCAGTCATACCTTTGAAATTCATTATGCGTTGTGTCTCTAATTTTTATTTTTTTGTTTTAATGCAATTAGGCTAAAGAGTTGAGCTTTATATTTAAAATAATTACATTAATTTTCCCCAAATGGGTTGGATGCCCAATTAAATTTAGAAGAAAAGCAAAACAACACGATTTAGTAGGATCAGTAGGATCGTGCGATCCCATGTGATTCTACGATCCTACTTCCGATTATACCGATCCCATGCAATTCTACGATCCTACTTCCGATTATACCGATCCTACTGCAATTCTACTTCCCAACAATTTTCATGTGATCCAGATCGATTAGGCAATTTGGAATTGTAGGATTGTAAGATTCTACAATACCGATCGGGATTTTAACTACCATGATTTTTATGAAGGAAATGTAGACTACATATTGTTGTTATTATGGCATCATAAGAGAGTCAAAAGTCCCACACACATGCCTCACTCCAGACTCCAAATCACAAGCATCTAGCAGTGTAAAGTACCAAATATAAATCTCAAGTTCATGGCTAATATAACATTCGAACCTTAAGAGTCATGTAATCACGACTAAGTATATATCTTCCTTCCTTCCCAAATTTAATATCTGAAATTGAGGCTATTATCTCGGTAAAAAAAGATCTTGAAGCAGGTGCCTCTGGTTCCTCAAACCTGTATGCAAAGGACATCATCATTTGATCCAAACCAATTGCATTCAAAATAATTTAAATGTTCAGACTGGGAACTCAAAATGCTAATGCTACTTCTTTTATTTATTTATCTACGTTTCTTTTTCTTTATTTTTTCCCCCATTTTTTCTCTTCTTCTTCTTCTTCGTCTTCTTCTTCTTCTTCTTCCTTCTTTTTCTTTTATTCTTATTATTATTTGTGTGTGCGTGTGTGGGTGCGTGTGTGTGGGGAGGAAAGGGGATAGAATCAGGCCAGCATGTCTCTAAATTTCTTTCAGCTTTGTTTTCTCAAGGGCAGATGCAATACAGGAATAACTAAATCAGGACAAAAGCCACCAAAACACTTACAATTTAGAATGTGTATCACACAAAGCTGATTGCCGCAAATCAATAAGACGGATCGATCCTTTTGAACTACTATATGCTAGCGTGTTACAATGAGTAGGATGAAACTCCGCTGACGTTATCACCTCTGCCATAACAAATAAATTACTGTTTTAAAGCACAAATATGTAGTAAATCAAACAAATAGGTCACATCTAAAAAAAATGTATACAGATAGGAAATCAGGATTGTAAAGAAATTCATTGAGGGGCAGTTCCGGAAATCACTGGGTTGCCTATATTTACAATTTTACAGTACTGCAGAAAACAACTCCAACAGCTTCATAGGAAATTGCGGTTAAGGTTGGGCATTTCAAATACTCTATTAATATCATATTCAAGGGAATAGTGTCCGATTAATGTCATCAGGAAAAAAAAAAAGGTTTGACATGATTTTAGCTGCCCTGACAGTCCTCATATCCTGTAACAAGCAGAATAAAATCACCAACATGGAGAAAGATAAATGTTTTATTAACAAATATGTGAATGACAGTAAGAATATGAGCACCATATGCACCCACTGCACCAAGAAGTAGAACCCTACTTCATAAAACCAGAATCTGCTGAACAAGTCCATCTTTGTTTTTTTTCCATTGGCAAGAAACCACACACCAATTTGTCCCTACGGGGATTCGAACCCTTACCTACCACTCTGTAGAGGAGATAGAAACCAAACATAGAACGAAAAAGAAAAAGAAAGCCAGAGACATCAATAGAATGTTAATCATACCAGTTAGATCCTCCATGTTTGCAGGCTTCACGTCAACAATATTAAAGCTCTGATTGCTAATTTCCAAATTCCAAAGGTTTATTCGCAGGTCATCAGCTGATATAAACGTTTCTCCATCACTAGAAATTGAGATAGAGAGAGTCAGAAAAAATATCTAAAATTATATTATAGATCAGTAGCAGACAAGATATCAGTCTTCTTTGGCTGTTAAAAATTATACATCAAGTCTATAAAACAGTGTGAGCAAAAAATAAAAAAAGGAAGACAGTTACCACACATAATCCAGAAAGAATAATCCCAAAACAAGGTTTTTACCCACTTGTTCTGTATCAGAGGGTACTTTCGAATTCAGATTTAGCCAGATCCACTCACAAAATAAAAATAAAAACAAAAAAACAACCATGTTTTAAAATTATTGAACAGTCAAACTTTGAACATGTTAAAAAAAAAAAAAAAAAAAAAGGCCAAGTCACCATGTTTGTTCTCCTAAGATGAATGATATTTAGTGGCCCAAGTATAAAATACATAAACAAAAGTGATAAAAACAATAAAGAGAGCCACCATGGACCACTTCAGCCAGGTTTCTTTTCGTACATATGGAAAAATCTTCTTTTAGTCTCTCCATATATAGACAGCTAACCTTCTCACAAATTTAGACAAATAAACAAAAACTCAAGCATGAGTACACAGTTTTTCAGTAAGAAACTAGAGGTTTTTCATTTTTATGATCTTAAAGAAAGACAGAAACGTGAAAATTAAACATTTCATCACAAAATTCTCTGTTTTACTTGTCCTAGACGTGCATCTGTACATGTCTGTAAAATTAACATGTACAAGTAATATGTAAACATCTTTTTAACTATCATCTACTCCTGACAAAGTGGTGGTGATGGTGGACATTTAGATTTTCATTATTTCTATTATTTTTCTTCTTTTGTATGTGTATAGTGAATGTGTCTGAGAAAGGGAGGAGTGTTCAGTCTACATATAGCCCATGCCATGAAGCCACTAGCAGCTAAATTAAGCTTCTTATCAAGCCATCCCACATGTTGGGGCAGGAAACACACATCCTATGTTTTCATACTTGGATATAAATTCCCTCACCCGCATACCACCAAGATAAATACCGTCCTGTCTTCTCACAGTACGTCAAATTAGGCCCCATCCGAACAGCCAAAGAGTATGCCTTCAGTCAACTATAAATACATATTTATTGAAACAATCCAGTTAAATCAATCCACGTTACAGACATCCTCTCCCACCTTTTTGCACCTTCAGCTACAAGGCTTGATCACTAATAATGCATTTCAAAGCGCTGCACCAATTTTTTATAAAAATACTATCGCTAGTTAAAAAAACACTTTAATACATGTATCTTAATTCTTTAGTCATAGATCATATGCAAAGAATATGAGGAAGAAAACGGAGTAAGAGTAATAATATGCAAAGAATATATCAGAGCACCACTACTTCAAGGTCAAGAAACAACCAAATATAAAAAAGATTGAAGCAACAAGTTACGAACAATCAAATTCTATTGGAGAGAGACAAAAACACACACTCTTCAACAAAGTATGGATCTCCACCTGTTATTTGAAATTGAATTGATATGGTAGTCATGTGCATGAGCATATACCCTTCTACATCTGGCCATGAGGCTGGTCTCTTGACTAGTTACCTGCAGATAGTACATTGTAAGTGCCACGTGGATTCATACGTAGGTAGTTTTATTTCCCCTCTTTTTCAAGCATGGAAGCAAGAGAGTGAACTTAAAGACTAAATGAAACAAATAAACATTGTTGCCTAATTAGATTGCAGATTAACATTTTTTTAATAAATTTACAGGTAAAAATATACATACATGGATTATTATTAACAAAAGGGGAAAAGGTTTCGCCTATCATTACTCTTAACAAAAAGAAAGTTCAAACATATGTACATATGTATTTACAAGAAAAAACAAGAAACTGTTAACGTGATCATTTAACTCAATAGAACAAAGCTTATGCTAATGGAAAGACTGCAGATTCAATCCATGCACCTTGCATCAAAAGTTATGCCTCAATTATCAGTCAAGGCGAGGGATCACAAGTACAACTAGTCATACCTCTGTGCTTCCTTTTTGTGTTTTTTTTTTCCATTTTTCCTTATAGTGCTCAAGTGCACTTCTCACAACATGATCAGGTTAATTCAGCCACATTTGAAATGACAAAATTTGAAGATACTGACCTTTACAAATTACATATTATTTAACCTCTTTTTTCTGGGTCATTATTTAACCATTGTCATTGTAAGAATTCAAATAGCTTAGGTTGTGTACAACTACCACGGGTAAGCGTAGCGATTGAACACCCTCTGCTGGGAATGAAAAGTCATTGCTCGAATAACTGGAAGATCTATCTGAATATCCTCCATTGGCAACATATGGTCTAGGGCTAGAAGAGACACTTGAATTGGCACTAGCTCCATTTCCAACAGCTTTGGAAGGGTCAATGTTCATGTCAGATATTTTCTTGACCTTCTTTTCTTGGACCTGCGTTATTCAAACATGAAAGTAGTGTACAAGTCAGCAAGTGCAGGGAAAAACCATCCATAACACACAGAACTGTTGAACAAATTTACTTACTTCAAATAGTAATCAATGTGAAGACATTCTTTCAACTAGAATAAACTAAAATACAAAATTAGAAACAGGCAAAGCTGGCTCAAAGTTGTTGCCCAACCACTCTAATAGAGGGCAACTCTGCAAAGAGCATATTGGCCTTCCTCATATTATGAGATTTTGCAATAATCTTCAAAACATATTCGTAATTCAACTTATTTAAACTAAGCAACACCTCAAAGACCAATCAATGGGTTAGCACACTTGATGGCAACACAGGGCATCACTCTTAGAGAACATCTCAACTCAAAGTCTCAAAAACTTTAAGGATTCATGCTCATAAACTGTACCAGGGTCTTACATATGCCGCCTATCAACCACAACAGCAGAACCTTCCTTGTTTCCCTATATTTGAGGCCATCTGCATAACAGATACGAGATGCAGAAACCAACAGTCTCTTCTAAAAACCACCTGTTCCAAATACTATTTTATATTGATTTTGAATAGCTTAAATATAATCATACTAATTTTAGAATTTCCGATGTAATGAAAGGGGCCTGATAGATAGAGGGTAACGTGTCCTTTCTTATGCTGAATAGGTAATAACTTGCAATGTGCAACTGGAAAATAGACATTCCATTACATTAAAATAAACACTTATCAAAAAAAATAAAATAAAATTCTGGGCATTGTAGCATACGAGATCTATCAAAAAAAAATTACATACAACAAGAGTATAACAAATTTTGAACAGATAGACTGAAATTGATTATAATTCATCAATATATCCACAGTTTACAGAACATATATCGCAGGGGGAGATAAAAAAATAAAAATAAAAAAATAAAAACCCAACCCTACTGTGCAGGCCTCTACTGGGTGAAATATAATTGCAATCCGATGTTCCATACAAAGAAAATACACCAATTCAGTACCTGAAAGTTGTATGGTGGGTTGGGGGTAGCTGAAGATATATACAGTAATTACTACCACGTAATATACAAATCAAATATTAAAAAAGATTCAAAAGGCTCTAAAAAAAATTATTTTCCCACCTTCCAGAATTTTATGGTTTTATCATTAGTAGATAGAAGAAATAGGGCGCCATTAGCTGTTTGGCACCATCTGATCTTGTTGATTTTCTCCTCAATCTCCAAGCTCTTGAGATAATCAAACTGAAGGCAGAAAGATGCAAAGGCGGAATGAATAAAAACAACCAAATCCAAGAAGCAAAAAGGATTGGTGAAAATGAATACCTCAGGTTCGTGGCTCTGAAACTCAGTTTTATAACGGAACTCTGGATGTCTACTAATTGGATAATCAATCATCTCCAGATCCCGTCGACTCCCACCATGCTATTACAAAGGAAGAAAGTATTACTATATTGCAACAAACAAAAAGCAATAAGAAAATATAAGTATGTCCAGATTTGCTAAAAAATCCACAAGAGCTGAACATAACGCACATCCTTTGTATCAGTCCTTTCAAATAAAACCACCCTGCCACCACGGTCACCAGTAGCAAGATGATCACCGGTTTTATCAAATTCAATTGCAGAAATGATATCAACTGCAAAATAAAGAAATAACATTCAAAGAAAATAGATTAGTGAATCCAGTTATAAGCCTGCTCAGATACACTAAGAAATGATAGCTTCACTACAATACTTGGCTACCATATTACCACAAATCAGCAATTATTTTGCATCTGCTGCCATCATGCAATGTTCTCAGAACTTTAATGGTATATACCTCTAAGGCTCCAACACATGCATAGACATACAATCAAAGAGACAGCTACACACGGAGAGGTATACGGTGAAGGGCGGAGGGGGAGTGCCCGACTTTTCCACGTTTGTAAATCATAAATCATTATTATTATTCCCAGGATTTCTAATTTTCTACCAACTAATTGATTTCCTAGTCATAACTACCATGAAACTAGTTGTCAAATGATTTATGCAATAGGGGCACCAAATTGGCTTATGCAGCCATATATACAGTGCTGTGCACCAACTAGAAGTTCACTAAAACAATATAGATTACATTTATGTAGCATAGTATAGATGGAAAGCAAAATGCCCTGCCAATAATTGACTGAAACCATGTAATCATCTGTGTAATCAACCTTCAATGTCGCATAACAGAATGAATCACCTTTTACTGTCTTTTTTATTATCATTTATTCTTTTACGAGCATAATTGGATCAGCATGTGACTGTATTTCTTGTTCCAGCCTGTAGAGTGTGGACAGCACTTGATCAGCATGACCAACTCTAGCACACAATCAAAGTCCAGCAAAGATCCCAACTGATGGATCAACACTCAAGGATTTTTCACAGCTAGTATTCCACCAACTTTCCAAGAGAATGCCAACTTGAACTCTTTGATCATATAAATTCTCAAACACCTAGAGCGAAGATCTTTTTGTTTCTTTTAATCTAGAAAATGCCTATACCACCCATAAAATTCTATATTTTCACTACCCCAAAGTCCAAAGTTGCCAGTTGTGATCAAAATGCTGACTCAGCCTGCTTCTATTACAAACCAGCAAGTTAGAGATGTTCTACTACAAACCAGCAAGTTATTCTTCCGCACATTCTTCAACAAGCTAGATTCTAGAAAACAACATCCTGTTGGAAATACTAATTCCCACTCTGTTCAACAAAGACAAGGCTATGGAAACCACAAAATGTGACTCATCACCAATGTTACTTTGGTGCACATCAGCCCCCAATAATCATGGAACATTGCCAAAGTCATTTTTAAAAAATGATATTTCAGAATAAACGGTATAAATATGAGGTGGTAGAAACTAATTGAAAAGCAAAAATAGCAGGGAAACAAAGTTTGTCAATATTATCTAGGCTTCAAGAGTAAAACATGGAGCCCGTTTCTTTGAAGGGTCCAAGATACCTCGTTTATGGGTTTTTAGAATGAAGCATCAAGTTGGTGACAAGACGAGCGTGGAAACAAAAGGCACTTATCTTTGGAAGGTCCAATAGTGTGGCCGTTCAGGGAGCAGAAAACCAATTGGCATAAGCGGCATAACACTAGCCATTGTAACGGAAATCTGACGAAGCGTGATATCTAATGCAACACTTAAGATACAAAATCAAGAAAAACATGAAAAGTTCACGTGATTATGTTTCAAACTTGTAAGACTCCCAATCAATCATTTTTTTTTTTTTTTAAGTAGATTCTCAATCAATCATAAAAGCAACTGAAAATCATTATAAAGCAATTGTCCACAGTGATGACAATGCACCAGACCCTACATTGGTGTCCATATTATCTTTATTTTGCCAAAGTTTGCTGTCAAAGCTCGCATACATTTAACCTTGAAACCAATTATTTAATGAGCTAAAAGAAAATTTATTTCACCTCAGAAATCTATACAGTGAGAAGATAAGGTAAGCCATTACTCCATCAACTATAATACTCCCCGCCATCTTTTTTTTTTTTTTTTTTTTTTCCCCTCTAAACTAGTGTACTAATTAATAATGCTTCATAGCCGAACTATTTCTTCTAAAAAATAATCACTTCCACTCACGTCATGAAACCAATCGTCCTGTCTCTTCTCCTTTTCTTCCCTCTTATGTAATGTAAATAGGAAAACATGCTGCAGGCAACCTGCTGCTAACAATGTTACTCAGTGTCTTGTAAATAGCAGGACCATTGTTTAACCAACCTGTTAAACATCTAAACCATAACATGTGCATAACTCTCCCCTTTGAATAGGACTATGTACAAGGTAGGTTAGCGTATTATCTGCTAGAATGCTATAAAAATACTTGTAAAATCTATTTACACCCATCCACACACACATACACGGGAATAAACAAAGGAAACATGCACCACTGAATAACCAATATTTGTTGCCACTTGACTGGCGAAACAATTTCTTTGTAATTCAGTGAACACAATGCATTTGAGCAACAAAGTCCTACCACACTATTTAAGGAAGTGGTACATAATTATAGAAATCCAAATTAGGTTCTATCATATCAAACATTCAAAACTTGAAAAGACAGATTCTGATACCAATACAAGTTTATGCAATTAAAGTCAATATAAAAAACTAGCACTAACTCTTTCGAGTAGTGAAATACTGTTCATTCTATTCGATTGATTAAAACACTATGGGTGCATCAACATAACAAGCATAGCAATATCAAATCCACATCCAAATCTTCACTATTTTTCCTAATCGCCAATAAATCAACTAATCATTCGACAATCAAGATCTAAAAAACAAATCAAAATCACATAACAAACCCTAATCATAACATATACACCAATAAGATTGTGGATCCAAAGTGACTCGAGGCAGTATCAGTATGGGTACCTTCTTGAACTTCTTCACCGGCCGTCCGTTCGCCGAAGACCTGAGAGAATTTCCACTCGAGCGGCGGCGGTGGGCCCGCCGGAGCTGCCGCGACCTCTCCATCGCCACCGTTGTTCATTTTTCAACGGACCAATCAACGGCCAAATATACCGCCAAATCAGCTAAAATCGAATCACTGCATCAAGCGATCGGTCTAGGTTTGGAGCATTCGTTAGAAGATCGCAGCTTCAGAATCGCCAAGAAATGCATGAAAAATGTTAGCTACAGATTCAACCATTCCAAGTCGAAATAACAACAGCGGACATGAACATCGATTTGGATTTTCTTTCTCCTATCTCTTACTTTCTCTCTCCTCTCTCTCTCTCTCTCTCTCTCTCTCTCTCCTAGTGCGGGGATAAAAATGGGATTTGGAGTGGTAAACCGTTCTTTGCCCTCGGAGAAACAGAACACTGTTCTCAATCTGTCTAAGCTCTTTCAATAATAGATTCTCTCTATCCTCTTTTTATAATTTTTGGTTATATGATACAATTACCAATATAGTAGTAGCATCTTTATTCCGAAAGAAAAATAATAATAATAAATAAATAAATAAATAAAATTAGTCAAGGTGTCAATTTGATCTCCAACGTCGGTAACTTAAGTGTTAATCGATTTATTCAAAAGTTAAAGTTGTCGTCTTTTTCTTGGCATGACAGTCAGTCTTTGATACTAATTACGATGTTTATCCAAAAAAAATTAAGTTGTTGGACAGACCCATTCATTTATACCTAATATTTCTTCCATTCAAATTCAATGTGGGACAAATATCACCTTATAACAATAACTTATTTGCTCCGAGTAAATATAGAGATCAAACCACTAAAGTCTTACCTCAAATTGTATGTCATTTACCTTAACTAAATTGATTAAAAACAATAAAGACAAGTACAAATGTTAAAAATGAGAGATGATTTGAAAAAAATTATTTCATATTAAAAAGATCTCTTTCCATTTAATTATCATATGATTTTGAGCAAAGAAAAAATAGTATTGATGTTATGCTGGTTTTATACCGAAGTGTTCTGATTTGATTTAGATGGATTGCTTTTACACTCGAAGCTTGAGTTGGTGCATTGATAGAGAGCAAATTCACCAAGGGCCTTGTGCTTTAATTGTATCTCCTCTGCATCAAAATAAATCATGAGTGGTGTGTGTGAGTGTTTTTACCAATAAAAAAAAGATTACAAAAATAAAAATAGAGAGCAAATTCCATTTCAATTCACAAATTCATTTTTGTCAATCTTTATATTTCTAATAATATCATCATTCTTTGAAAAACAGACTACAAAATGTGATATAAATTTTCAATACATACCGGATAAAATTTGTAAGAAAAAGAATAAAGTAAGGATGAACTAATGGATTGAATATTTTAATAATAAAATTTGTTAATAAAATATATTAAATATGATGTTTCATTTTATTTATATACCATCTTTATGTTGTAAATAATCGTTATATATATATAACTGCATTCATGAGGGCTTTTTCATATGTTGGTTGCATTCTTTGCTAGCTTTCTTAGAGATATTTCATTCCTCCCTATCCTTCCATTTTTTAGGAGTTAAGAGTGCTTAGTACAGCTTATATATATATTTTTTATACTTGCACAAAAAAAAAAAAAAAAAATCCTTAAACTCTAATTTTTATTTCTAGTTATTAATTTCCATTATGTATATTATCTTTATGTCTTAATCTATTATAATTTTATTGTTAGTTGTTTACTATTCATGAAAATGTCAATTTGTCAAAATTATAGTAATTGTTTTGCGTGTCTAATTGTGTAATTGAAAAAATGTATCACCTTCTCTGTCCTAAACCATGTGAATGATAGGATACATAAATTATCTATTATTAGGGACCATCTTTAATATATACGTAACTTTAAAAAAACTATTTATAGTAGTTTCATTCCATGCTAATTTTGCTCGCCCATCAGTTTCTTGCTTTATATGGAAACTATTCTTCCTTTATTACTGGTACATTCACAAGTCTTGGTTACACGTGTATATATCATCTAATTTTAATAACATTATCTCTTACCGTCACTCTTAACATTCTTATATATATATATATATATATATATAGCCATCTATTACATTCTCATATAGCTAATTACATAAATACATTTTTTATTTCGCTTTTTAAAACCCAACACTCTCAATATAAAACCGTTGGCATAATAATTATTTAAAGAATTTTTTTTTTTTTTGTTTTCATTTTTATTTAATAAAATACCACTAACATGCCTCTATTTTGTCCAACTTTTCGAGTTTTATTACTTAAATGTCCATCAATCTGGCCATCTTTAATTATTTGGTTTTGAAGTGTGATTATTATATTATTAGTATTTGATAATGTATTAAATTTACATTTCATACATTTATTTTTAGTGCTACTAATTTTTTTACCTTTTGATTCCAATGTATTTCTCTACATTTCTAATTGTATAGTTTTATTGTTTTTTAAAAGCATTCGATAGCACAATGTCATTAGTAAATGTCTCCTCATAAGTCTTTTGTTATTTTCATGTAAAATTATTGTTAATAGACTTGAAATTAGTATTATTGATCTTTCATGCAATCCTACGTTTATATTTTTTAAGGAAAATAAATTAAAAAAAAATAAAATCCCTCACTATATATAGAGAGTGAGCTTTAGAATCTGTATTCATATACATCTCCTGAATAATAGTTTTCATTTTTGTTCAAGTTTGTTTTCTTCATAAAGTCCACTAAGTTATGTCTTTCACTCTCTATCATATGCCTTTTTTATCTACGAAAACCTTTATGTAAATCTTTTTTGCTTATTCTTGCCATCTTCAACTAATTATTCAAGTAGAATCTTTGAGTGCTTGGATAGGAGAAAATTGCAACGGGTACATTCGGACTGTTCGTGTAATACATGCGCTCGCACTTGTAACAGGCACAACAAAGTTTTTCTCCTTGGACGGGAAAAAAAGAAAAAGAAAAAAGAAGCAGAACCTTTGAGGGTATTACTAAGTGGATTCCCAGTGTTACCTAGGGTTGGAAGAAAAAAAAACCATTTTTGGTAAGGTAAAAAACAGTAATGGCATAGTCATGTAGCAGTGTGGAAGAAGTATTGTTCAAAATCATCATCATTATCCTTTTATTGTACAAAATAATAATAAGGAAATTCAATACACATCTACTTAGCCCAACTATTTTGACTCCTGGCATTCTCAACCCTTCACAAATCATGCATTGTTTTAGATCAAAGTGATAGCTAGACTTTAAATTATAATCGAATTATTGAAATAGAATAATGGGTTGGGAAGGATTATATATTCTTCATTTGCATAATCATCTATATCTATCTCTATTCTCTACTGATCTAAATAGGTAAATTTCTGCAACTGGACCAGTATTCAGCTACAAGCTTGGAAAAAGAGGAGTTTCTCTCCATAAGCTTTGGAGGCTCATCATACTCCACCAGCTTCCCTGCAATACCATAACAACAACCCACAATTGCATCAACAAGCTTCCTATCGAGTTATCAATAACCCAACACAATAAATTTACTAGGTGTATTGAGCCTACTAAAATAATTAAAATTGGACTGAAGTAGATAGGTATAGAGGCTTGTCTCAAAAGTTAAAAATTGGCTACTACTTTATACATGTCTACAATTTAAAACTTCGAATTAAGGAAACTCAGTATGCGGAGGTAAGACTGCGTACATCTAACCCTCTCCTGACTCCGTAGCGTCGGGAGCCTCGAGACTAGCCCTTTAATAACTTTTAGGAGATTCATCAGATTGAGTTTTTCCGTCTAGTTTCCATCTTAGAAAGGTTTGGAGTATGAATGACGTTCCAAAATTGTGTGGAGGGTTTCTGCCTTGTAATGCAATGGTTGCATGGAGTCATGGACGTGTAAGGAAGGAAAGAACAAAAAAAAAAAAGTGAATGGGTTGCTTATTTGATTTACTATGAGCCCTTGCATATGCATATTATGTATGAGGAAGAGGTGGAAATAGAAGCATACCAAAAGAGAGAACCAAGACCATGTCACTGTCTGTGACAGTAGGGACTCTGTGAGCTACGGTTATCACCGTGCAATTTGAAAATTCTTCCCTTATGATTCTCTGTAGGATAGCATCTGTGGCGGAGTCAATTGAAGCAGTTGCTTCATCTAGAACTAGAATTCTGTTTCTCTTGAGAAGCACCCTTCCTAGACAGAAGAGTTGGCGTTGCCCTGCGCTCCAATTCTCACCTTCGTCGCTCACTGATGAGACAGAAACAGAAAGCAATGATCTTCATTTGCTTGATCAACTTACAAGTAAATATAATTGATAGGAGGTGTGCATAATATGCAATATCACTTAGAAATTCTGTGGGAAAATAGAAGTTTGTTTCTTAAATGTTGCTTCAAGGTTTCTGGATTCAACTCACCTGAAGAATCTAACATGTTAGGAAGACTGCTGATGATGGCCTTAAGCTGGCACTTCTCTAAAGCCTGAAAATCAATAACTAAATACATTTGTGAGGAATTGACTGACAGATTGTTCCAAGATCACCAGGAAAAACAAAAAACTGAACATTGTTAATGTATATATTTATGAAGATTAGGATGTTTTGGCTTGCCTTCCATATCTCCTCATCAGAGTAAAGGCCTAAAGGGTCCAAGTTAGTTCGAATGCTGCCCCTGAAAAGAGTTGGCTCTTGAGGAATGACACTCAGTTTCATCCGTAGATCCTTAAGACCGATAGAGCAACATGTCAAGACCATCTATAAGAATTCTTCCGCTATCAGGCTCCACCAAACGAAACAAAGCACTTGTTAGTGTAGTTTTGCCGCTTCCAGTCCTTCCAACAACTCCTACTCTAGTCCCTTCCTTGAAAGTGCAACTGATCCCTTTGAGGACTAATGGAGCATTAGGACGGTATCTAATCTGAGACCAACCAAAGAATCAATTGTCAAATTATTGTGTATGTTAATGTTCAAATTAGAAAGCTCTGGTATGCATTCTCTCAAGTCTCAAGAAGAGTGGCTTCTGATCATTTCCAAGTCTCTTCTTGGAAATTGTTTGGCATCAATCAGGATTGATCATAAATAGATCAACAAAGACAGTAGACTTGTTCGGAGATCAAAATGTGAATGAAAACTAAACATTAAGAAAGCACATAGCACTTATTCTAGAACTTTCATGGAATTTCTAAGAAACTCATCCATCTAAAATAATGAATTTCGTTACCTTCAGATCCTCCAAATCTATCCTCCCAATGGAGGGCCATGAAGACGGCGGCCTCCTTTCCTCCACAATTGCTGGTGGCTCTGGTGGTATGTGCATGAACTGTTTGATCCGTTCTACGGATATGATGTAGTTAGATAAGCTGCTATACCATCTAGTCAAGAACACTTGGGTACCCGTTGATGCCAAAGCATAAGAAAGAGAGAGTCCCACAAGTCCTGCAAAAGTTCGACATCTTTGAACAACCTACAATAGCATTGCTAAGCTACAAATAAACCGTTTGAATGAACCCTAGACATAGATACCTGGAGCTATATAACCCTTGGGAATTAAAACCAGGAGTAAAGCAGCAGTGAATAGGGTCAGATTTTGAAGTGCTTCAACCCTCATAGCCAACCATTCCAAAGCTGTATTAGAGTAAAAGAAGAGTTTTGCATCCGTGTCAATGAGCTTTAGGTAGTTATGAAAGAACCTCTCTGCCATGCTAAATGCTCTTATGGTGAGCACTCCAAGTGATGTCTCAGACGCATAATTCATGACTGGAGCTTTTGTTGTTCCATTGATTCTCATTAGTTCCCTTGCAGAAGCTTGATAATAGTCCTTCAGACAGAAATAAAATAAGATAATCAATTTTTTTTTCCTTTATCAACAAAAGATAAAAAGATTGATTAAAATGTGAGATGAGATTTACCTGAACATATTTTGAAGCTACCATAGCAAAGATGGCTACAATGAGAACTTGCCATGTGACTGAGGCCATAACCCCAATGATTGCCAGCAGTTCACTTCCAGCAGCAATTACATAGGCAATGGAGAAAGGTATGTCAAAATCCAACACAGTCAAATCTGAGGAAGCCTGCGCAACAAACATTGACATCATGACATGAATGTACAAAATAAACAATTGGCTCAGTAGGTACATAATCTCTCATAAAATAGAATGAAAGAGAAGAAACTTTTACTCTTGCCAAAATCCGTCCAACTGGGGTAGAGTCGAAAAAGAGCATGGGAGCATTGAAAATTGAATTGGTGAAGCCCTAGAAGAAGGCCTTAGAAGCTTTTAATCCCAGAAGAGCAGCATATAGGGACCTTAGATATACAAATACGGCGCTCATTGTTGAAATTCCAGCATAAACACCAATTAACATGCCGTTGCTGATTTTGGGAATTTGGACAGCAAATGCAAGCCAATAACTAGAGGCAGCCTGAAGTCCAACAAAGCAAGACTGAGTTAATACACTTAAGCCCAGTAAACTTGATCCCTTTGAGATGAGGATGTAATCCATGAATGGCTTCCACCCAACATCACCAATCTCCTTTTCTTCTTCCTCTGTCAGCTGTACTCCTGGTAGACCCTTCACGGAAATCTCCCCCTCACTGTTTTCTTTTGTAAGATAAGACCGGTTTAATGCTTCCGACCAATCCATGTTCACCTTTGATGGTTCACTTCTGTTTTCATTGGTTGAAGAATCCAATATTGTTACTGCATTTTTATGAGCATTCACAAGCTGCTCAAACGCTGTCCCTGCAGTCAAGAGTTCCTTGTAGCTTCCTGATTGACTAACTTTTCCACATTCCATAACCTAGAAGTGAAAAAAACAAGATTACTCTATGAAAATAAGTGAAAACTCACATGAAATACATGATTATGATTGTCAAAGCCTTATTACCAAAATTGTATCAACTTCTGAAAGAAACTCCATTTGATGTGTAACTAGAATTACAGTTTTTTTCTCCAGCGCAGTCATGACACAGTCCTGCATCGACACCATTGAACTTCAGTATCAAGAAATCATGTTTGCATCACAAAAATAATTTATGCATGCCGATTTAACATTACGTTAAAAAGAGTTGCAGCTGTATGTGCATCCACTGCACTAAAAGGGTCATCAAGAAGATAGATATCAGCATCGTTGTAGACAGCTCGAGCAAGTTGAATCCTCTGTTTCTGTCCTCCACTCATGTTAAGCCCTCTCTGACCTATCTCTGTGAGATCACCATGTTCGAAACTATTAATATCTTTATCCAAAACACATGCTTTCATGGCCTTTTCATAAATGGTTTTGTCCATTGGCTTTCCGCAGAGTATGTTATCCCGGATTGTCCCACTTTGGATCCATGATGTTTGAGAAACATAAGCAATGGATCCAAATACATCCACCTAGATGAAAGCAACAAGAAACTTCAATTAGTGAATTAGTGACATAAATATAGCACATGATTTATAAATAACCATTCTTTTATAACTTACAGTTCCTGAAATCTTGGGTATTTCTCGGAGTATGGCATATAAAAGTGATGACTTCCCAGCCCCAACTTGCCCACAAACAGCAAGTTTATGTCCCCATCTTACTTCCAAGTTCACATTTCTCAGTGTTGGAATGGCTGATTCTGGATCCCAACTGAAATGCCCGGCTTGTATTCTAACACTGATATCTGAATCTCTTGATGCAATTCTACTTATTTTCTCATTTTTGAGTTCATAATCAACCAAAAAGGAATTGATCCGATCAAAAGAGACTTTGACCTGAATTATTGCAGAAAGAGCGTCGGGTATTAGTTTGACAGGTTCTGACATACTGCGCAATGCTGCCAAAATTGTAAAGATAGTGCCAGCATCTAATGGCGCACTTTTGAAGAAGACACATCCAAGAAAGATGACTGAAGAAATAATGGTTGGTGACATCCAGTACAAGGCAGTGCCATAAACCTTCTTGTGCTGAGTTTCAGCCAACCATCTGAATTCACTGTCTCGGTATGATTGAACCAAGTTCTTGAATTTATCTTCCCACGACTGTAACTTGATGATTTTCATATTGTTTAAGATTTCAGAAGTGAACCTGAGTCTCTTGTCTTGTGAAATCATAAATTCAGATTGACATTTCTGAAGTAACTTAGCGAATGGCACATTTAGAAGCCCACAGATGAGAAGAGGGACTAAACCAGGAAGAGCACCAAGACCAACAACCCCAAAAAGGACACCAATGGCTAGAAAAATTTGCAGGCCAAGAGTCCACCCCAAATTAAACCACATAGGGAATTCCCCCATTCGATAGGCATCAACTGCAATGTAATTCACCACCTCCCCAGTTGAATGCCTTCGCCTTCCCAAACTCGAAAGTTTGAGTTGCTTTTGATAAACTGCCACCATCAAAGCTGATCTCATCTTCATCCCAGTCCGCCTTGATTGGAAAAAGAAATGCCTCTGGGACAAAGATTCAACGACCTTAACAATAACCAAGTACCCCACTAAGATCAGACCTTCATATGTATTGTCTTTTTCCCGGTTCGAATAACCTACAAAGGCATAAAGCAACAAAGGAGCAACAACTACAGAAAATGTCCTAAGAAGTGCACAAATTCCTACAAACACCCTTTCTTTTGTATAAACTCTCACTGTTGCCCAAAGAACCAAGTTCCTAGTATTGTGACTATTGTCTGAGGTCTTGTCATTTCGAAGTGAATCCCATTCTTGAGCAAATTTCTCATATGCTAAAACTGCTTCATCTTCAGGGACTAGACCGGGAATGTCTTCAAGAACTAATGGTCTTGAATAACCTAATCGAAGCAAAGGATTAATCCAAGAAAATGTCAATCTGCTGAGCAAACTGGCCTGGCCTAGTTGGCTACTGCTATTTTCCGTCTCCTTGACTATTAGAGGTTCCGATAAACACATGTCTGGAGAACGTTGAGAAACCAAGTAACTGAAGTTCCTCAATGCACAAAAGAGAAGCAAGAAGTTGACAGGCCAGGGTATGAGGTCCAAGATATTGATCTCGCGTGTTTTCACTAAAACCGCGATGTTTAGAGCTGAAATCGATAGAAAGAACACTACCCACCAGACAGAAGACAGAATTTTGATCCATTTTGATCTTTGGACAAGCAAAGATACAGTCAAGGAGATCCAAATCAGTCCTCTGACAAAGTATACCACCCAGCTCAAATGACTTATCAGACCCCATAAACCAGCACCAAGATATGCAATGCTAGTAAGTGCACAACAAATTGACACAACTAGAGGGACCCAATCCCTTCTAACATACCTAGTACTGATGGCGTGTGATCTAATTGAACCCACAAACAAAAACAGATAGAAAACAACGAGGACTAGTAGGTTCACTAAATCTATGACAGTTCTTTGAAAGCAAGAAGATCCCAAATCAAACTCTCCCTCACAAATCCAAGAGAAATCCCCTGTAATATCATGAGAAGAGAAGTTATAGTCATAACAATTTCAATCAAATATATTTAAGTTAATACAGTTGAAAAAGTGTCAAAAAGCACATAAACTAGAAAAGTTGAAACTACTATAGTTGGAAATGAAGACACACTTCATGGAATTCAAAGTCATTGTATGGACACACACAGCTAAAATTATGGGGGGGAAAAAAAACACCAAGAAGTAGAGAAAAAAAAAAAAAAAAAAAAATCCAAATAATGATGCTGCATGTATTTTATCAGTGGTACGTTTGGAGACTAAAATCAAGAAAAATGAACCACAAAACTATGGAAAAGAGGTTGTCAAAAAGAACAAAAAATTATGGAACCCAAAATCAAATGTTTTACTAAACAAGAACTCAATTCATTGAACTAATAAGAAGAATTGAAATTCACACAAACACCCAAACACAGAGTGATTGTGGAGATGGAAAATCAGAAAATAAGATTTACCAAGTGACATCCCTGAGGAAGCCATTGTGGAACCACAAAACTATGGAAAAGAGGTTGTCAAAAAGAACAAAAAATTGTGGAACCCAAAATCAAATATTTTACTAAACAAGAACTCAATTCATTGAACTAATAAGAAGAATTGAAATTCACCCAAACACCCAAACACAGAGTGATTGTGGAGATGGAAAATCAGAAAATAAGATTTACCAAGTGACATCCCTGAGGAAGCCATTGTGGGTGGAGTGTGTTTGCTCAACTATTGCAACACCAACATATGAGGCAGAGAGCTCAGAGATTATCCACCGAATGAGGCGCAAGAGTACGTTTTTAGTTTGTTCAGTTGATCATGACAGCTGCCACTCCACTTTTATACAGCACACACGCACACACACGCGCACACACACGCGCATATATAATAAATTTTAGCCGTTTTGTTTATTTAATTGTCCCTTTTGGCTTGATTTGCTTATTTGAGTGGACAATTTATCGTACTTGTTTGTTTCTCCGCTAGTAATTATGGACATAAGCATAACGGACCACATTCAAGGCCTTGTCCACATTCCAAACACATGCATGTATTTTAAAATACTACTCATTTATTATTAAAATAATGCAACAATGTCGGAATCGGTTTTTTTTAAAAAAACTATGCCAATCAATAGTATTTTAACAAAAATTATTTGACAATAATTAATAATATAAAATTTCTTTCTTTTAAAAAAATAATAAAATTTTGATGAGTTTTTATAATCTACTGATGTAATAATTGTGTTGAACTAAATACTTTAAAAGGAAGAAAAATGTCACCATGCCTAACTTACATTAAAATAAAAGTGAGAATTTAAATCAAAGTCACATAAAGCGAAAATGAAAGCGAGAGCGAATTAAAGAGTGAGAGTGCGAAAATGGCAAAATTTAAATCTCAAATAATGAAAATGAGAGCTAAGAACAGGAGTATAATCAGTTGTGAGAGCAGCACCCGATTATACGTTGAGAAGAATTATATGATTAGGTTCAAACTCTTGTAATGAAAATAGGTATGTGAATTTCTTACTCAAAAATAAATAATAAAAAAATCACCTTTAAGAAACTATTACATGTTTTCTAGATCTCATAATTCAAATTTGAACAAAGCATATACTTTTATGGGAAAACACTATACTGTATAATGAGTACTGAGCTTCCATAAACTCTTGTGATCTCATTTAATGGTGTGGAAAAGAAAAAAGGAAAAAAAAAAAAAAAAAACCTCACGCCATGTCATTACCAAAATAGGAAATTATTATTACATGTTTCTACAATAGACTCTGTACGTATGGTCAAAAACAATTTACTGGTTTTAAAAGAAATACTACCAATTAATTCAGACTCGCGACACACACACACATACACATACACCACACATATATGAGATGAGATGACAAAAAATCTTTTTATCTAAAGAAATGGACTATACCAGATTATTCTCTTCTCAACAAGTAACAACAAAATCTGACCCTGTACTGTCACACCCACCTGTATTGTAACCACTTAGTATTTTGATAATCATGTATGTGTCACATTGACGAGATCTGAAAGAATTTGTCTTCAGGTGTACTTTTTTAGTAGTGTTTTAATGAGTAAAAATTGAATCTTTGAATGAAATTACCTCAATCAAGGTACCTTTTCTGTCACTAAACCTTTTTAATGTATAAAGATTGAATCTTTGAAAGAACATGAGAGTTTTGAGTTCAACTTATTCAAGTTATCTATGTAGTTGCGAAGAGTGTTTTAATGACTAAAGATTGAATCTTTGAATGAAAATATCTCAATAAAGGTACTTATTTTGTTAGTAGACCTTTTTAATGTATAAAGATTGTATCTTCGAAAGAAAATGAGAGTTTTGAGTTCAATATTTACTCATTAAAACACTCTTTGGGACGTTACAGGGAACGTGAATAAGTTTAACTCAAAACTCTCATTTTCTTTCAAAGATACAGTCTTTATACATTAAAAAGGTTTACTAACAAAATAAGTACCTTTATTGAGGTATTTTCATTCAAAGATTCAATCTTTAGTCATTAAAACACTCTTCGCAACTCATACTAAATGATTTGTACCTAAGGGAATAAAGTTTTTATTATTATTTATTATTATTTAGGATTTTGTGTACTCGGCCTTTCACTTATTTTAATATAGTTTCAATATGAACTATATCACTTTTTTTTAATGGATACACTTAAAGATTTTATTTGCACACATTCAAATAATCTTATTTGATTTTTTTCTCATTTTATATTCAAATGTTTTTCCTATCATCTACAGAAGATGATTATTTTTTATTTACGGTTTTACAATACATTCATCTCAAGTTTAGTTTGTGTGTGTATATATATATATATTCTTTTTGGGTTGAAACCGTGGTTTATCATATCATGACGTATTGTTCAATTTGTAACTCTTTTTTAAGTGTTTGATATCATAAAATACCTTCATGAATCAGCGGATTCCGTCATTTTATATTGATATCCTTCTAAATTCAATAAATTACACCTGCAATAATTACCACGACTACGAACTACCCTTGAGACTTAAAAGAGTGTGAATTTTATATGTGGTGGAAAATCGGGGAAACTGTGACTCTTCTATTCCATTCCGTTACGCAGAAGTCGAAAAACATCTTTACCGGAACATGTGAGACATGAAGGCAGGCTTAATAGCATCCAACAAAACTCACTAACTTTCTTTTTTGTCTGTCTACTGTTTTTTCCTTTTTTTGTTTTTCGATTTCTTTTAGTTTTCTAACTTGAGTCCACAATCTTGCATTTGAATACAAGGATTAAATAAACTAAAAGCAATAAAATAAAATAAAATATAAAAAGGAAAGAAAGCAATTAGTAAAGTCAAACTTTCGTAATTGGCTAATGATTTGGGTTATACCACGTAATATGGTTGATCTGATCCCTAATTTTTTCACATGTAGGGATCGAATTAATTTTAAATTCAAACCATTAGTGGATGAAAATTTGTTGGACTAGATGGATAACTATTATACCTGTTGACGGTTCAATCTCATATGCAAACAAATAAGCAGAAGAGTTAAAATAATTTCACTTTTCAATTTTAAGAAAGTAATTTCTCTTTTTGTGAAAAATAAATAAATAAATGAAGAAGAAAAGAAGAAGGAGAAGAAGTGAGAATTTGATACTTTCTATTTCTATACGGTAGACAGAAATTACTTTCTACACTATAGCTACTTATCCCACCAAAGCCCTCTTTCTTCCTCCAACCCATCAGAAGACCGACGCCACAGCCACTGCAATTTTGGGTTCGGGTGATCAGTGACCGGCGATCGGCGACGGAGGGGACAAACGCGATGAAAAATCAGTAGTTCAGTACAATCCCAAAATGTCTCCGTAAAACTTAGAAAATTCTCTGCAAAGCCGGCCACACACACGATGAGAGACGACGAAGCGCACGAAAGAATCCACCGATGAAGCAGCTTCCGATTCAATTCCCTCTGATTCTCCATCTCGGAAGCGTCTTCTCATCGATCCAAACCGTAACCATTGTTCGACCGCATCGTCAGCCGCGGTCTTGTCCTCCGACGCCTCGTCGGATAGATTCTGTCGAAAAACCAGAGATTTGCCCAATTTGTCCGATTGCCACAGTTGTGGCCTACGAATTAACAACACTGGGCCTAAGGACAAACTCCAAACCCTAGACAGCGTCTGGCGCATCGTCCTCCTCTGCAAAAAAGTGCATAAAACGTGTCCAGTTGAGCAAAGTAGTGATTGCAAAAAGGGCTGTGGAATTCGCGAATGGTGTATTGGATTTGGTGACGAAGAAAGATGAGAGTGATGAAAAGGCTGAAAGTTTGGTGAGCAGTTGTAGTGTTTCTGCTACTACCACGATTACGTTTGCTGAATTTGAACTGGGGATGGTGGGATTGATGGATGATGGAACTGGGTGCGCAGGTGAATATGAACTGGGGATGGTGGGATTGGCGGACGATAGAACTGGGTACACTGGTGGTGATGATAAAAAATAAAAGCAAAATCATAATTATTAAACTTGATTTTGTTATTTTACTTTCAAATTTTTAATGAATATAAGATATTACTTAAACATTACTTCACTTTCTATTTCAGTTTAAGAAATAAAAATCATGGTTTTAGTTTTAGAGAAAGTAAAAATAAAAAAGTAAAAACATTAATAAACGGACCATTAATAAATAGGTGATAAAAAGAAAGGTCTAAAGTATCTCTTCCGTTTCCGACTAACTATTAATTATTGTGAAGCTAAAATAAATATATATATATATATATATATATATATATATATATATTTGTTAAAATTTTTATAAACACAAACTTAATCTAAAATGTATTATAATACATATTATAATAAGTTTCAGTTTATTTAATTAATTGCTTTCAAATTCTCTTTGACTGATTTTGATTTCCTCCTTCCCCAATTTATCATTTTATAAAAAAAATTACCCAATCCTAAGTTAGAGTAACATTTTGAGTTTAATTTAAAACTAACCCCCACCAATTATTGAAAGAAAGATGATGTCAAAATACATACAAAATTGTGGGTCTTAAGGAAAATAAAAAAGAAAAAGGAAAAAGTAAGTCACTCCAAATCTTTTTTCTTAATATGGTTCCATAAAAAAAATAAATAAAAACAGTATTCCATAATGATTTAGAGTTTAAAAGTCAGACAACTTAATGATTTATGTGAATGATAGCTGATGTCGTTATAATATCAATAATATTTCTGATATCAGTTTTTACTCGAGTATTTCATGCCTAACATGCACATTCAGTTTGTCTCTTACGAAAACTTAAACTCTTTATCATTTATTTTGAAAAAATAAAAAAATAATCATTTGAAAGAAATTAATTATCATTTACTTAACTCTTAACTTCAAAACTAAGAAAGTATCACTTGACAATTTAACGGTATGCTAAATTGTGGCTACATCCATGGAATCAGAATCATTGGTGATGACCAAAGTTGTTGGTGACACCTAGTCAATTGATGAAACATGTCTACACTCAACCAAGGAAAGATTTAGATTGAAAGTGAAACCAGCAGATAAAACTTCATATCATAAGAAAATTACCAGTACCATGCACTAGTCCACACACCACACACACACACACACACACAATCCAAGTTGAACACAATCTCTACCTGTTGTCT